TATACCTTCGGTGGCGATGGTGCTGCTAAGAGGGCTGGTGACTGTCGTTGGACCATGCCGACTCTTCCTCCCTTCGGTTGGGAGGCCTTGCACTCCTCTGAGGCAGGCTAGCAGGGCGGTTGTTTCCGGATTCTGAGGGCTTTGCCCGCTGAGGGTCAGTAGGGCCGAGTGCTTGTGGTTCTGCGGACTTGTGTTGGCTTTGATGTCCCGATGCCCTGGCGGGGCGGTCCCCTCGAGGGTGGTCTCCTGCCTGGGGCAAACTTGGTCAACACATTGGGTGAGGTATTCCAGATGGTCGAGGACCGCCTGGAACTACTCATTGGTGACCAGGTTCGGAGCGTTCCTAGCTCTTCGTGCCATGTTGACCGGTGCTTAGGAGAGTTTTAAGGTTTAAGTTGGATGGGAGAATGTCATAGTGACATTTCCCACAAACGGCACCAATTGTTGTTGCTCGGATTGGTCGAGGGCAACACTGTAATTTCACTCTTGAGATCCGGGACACGGTCGAGGGCTTCGAGTCTCTAAGGTGCTTCCAAAGGGAGCCAAAGCCGAGGGCAGGTTGAAGGCTGGAGAGGTGTGCCGAGGCTGAGGGTTGGAGGCTGAGGCAGACTACCTTCTCAAGTACTAGAGAGGCCAAGGCCTAGGGGCCGAGGTGGATGATCTCGAAAGAGTTGGTGTCGAAGTCGGGATGCTCGCTTGAGCGTACGAGGGGTCCAAAGGGGCTTGAGTTTACTCTGCAAGGAAGGAAGTGTCAGAGGCCTCGGGTGAAGACCCGAGGCGAGGACTTCGACGGTCAAGTTAGTGTTCGCACAAGGTAAGTAGAAGGTTCAATGCAGAGGCACCCAGACGAGGTCACTAGTAAGCACTAAGTCCTCGGTAAGAAGAATATCAAGAGTCTTAAAGATTCTAGAGAGCCTTACCTTGTGGGAGGTGCCTTGTATTTATAACCGGAGATGCCTAGGGGGTAGTTGGGCTCGGGCGGCCTAGATGCGAGCCGTATGGGGGCTAGCTTGGATGGTCCAAATGCGAGCCATACGAGGGCTAAGTGTGAGGATATGGCGGAGCCACATGGTGCCCCGCGATTGGGCCTGCCTGGTCCACACATGGCCACACCGCGTGCCTCACTATTGGCCTCTGCTGGTGCCCGCTGGCCGACACGTGTCAGCCCCGCATTGGCCAGCTGAATGCGCCTACATCAGTATCATAAATCATTTGATATATATAGAAAAGGCAAAGTGCAATAAAAGCACTGTAAACTTGCTTCCCATGGAAGTCTTCACAATTGACGAGCTGATCAAGAGGATGATGTGCTTGGTTAACTCTTGCAAGTTATGGGGGACATAATGAACATCTCTTGCATTGCAGCTTTACTTGGAGATTGTGGAAATACTCTATGGTGCCTTTTAGGTTAGGTTGGGTGGTGCTGGATGGAGTGGTGTGGCAAGCATATAATATAAGTAAGAAAGATTGATTTCTTTGGAAAGCTTTAACAATATGAGCTTGTCTTACACCACCAATCCCTATCCTGGATTAAGGAGGGTTGTGTCAGTTTGGTAGCTGGCATTAAAACTTCTGCCAAACTCTTGTTCTCATGGATCCTGGGTTGTCTTTTTCATGCCCGTGCTAGGGTGTGACACTAAACAAAATGGAATGGCAAAACAGGATTTATGTAGCTGACCCCATATAGTTGGGACAAGGCTTAGATGATGATTTATTTGGACCTGACTACTTTTCTTTAACTACTTCGTAAGGGATTTGGAACAAATGTATCTATATAACCTTCAATAGTAGTGAGAGCCTTGTGTGGTTTTGTTAGATGTATAGGCTTTTGCTTTGACATTCAGAGGCATTTTGCATTAGACATATGAAAGTTAGAAAGGGAAGAGTTATGCATAACATAATAGTTAGTTGAGGACAGAAAAGTGATACACTCTTCAATAACAAAATTGCTTCTTTTAGTTTTTGTAGCTATTATAAAGACATTAATGGTTTAGAGTAGCAAGGTGGTTGTACATCTTAATTATTGTAATTCCTTTGTTTAATTTTCTTTTTGTTGTTTTTATTGGCTATTTGTTTCCTCTAGATGAAATTGTGTTGTGCCACAGATCCAGCTAGTGCTGCTGCAATTCAGGCAAGTAGGGAGGAGGGAGATTCTCGATCAGTGTTTGTTGGTAATGTGAGGTTCATGATCCTTCGCTTCACAATTTATCATATGTAGAGTTCTTATGCATTTCCTTAAGACACACTTGAAGAAAACTGCCTCTGCAGCTCTGCTGTGATTCCTTTTTCAGCATGCTGATTCGTTCCTTTCACTTTTGCTCATAAAAGCTCTTTGTGCATGAATAGATATATACAGAATTCCAGATGCCTTTGCTTCTGTTAAACATTGAAATGATATATTTCTAAGTTTCTTTTTTTTATACTTTGTATGCTTGCATGTGTTAACATACTATTGATCAGAAACTTGAATACATGCATGCATTTTATATGCATACATATTTATTACATAGGTTGCATGGCTTTTAGTTTACATTCTATATGCATTGTATCCTTCTTTTAATGGGCATACCTTTTGTTTATGTGGTATTGCATGACAATCAGATTTAGCTTAATGCATGGAATGGGATAATGAAATTTATTTTTCAACTTGAGCAAATTAAAGTATTTTAGTTTATGAACCTGACATTTTCAGTTTATTCGATGTTTCCATCCCTGCAAATGCATCTAATGGAGGCAAGCTTTCAAGTTTTCTAGTGTTCAATGTTCTATTACTGTCTAAAGACAGATATGGTAGAACTGTGCAAGACCAATGAGTGCACACTAATGTGGAATGATTTGGTGCAAGTAGAAGGCTCTAAAAGAGCAAGGAGAAGACAGATGTGCTCATTTGTGTAGAGCAAGTGGTAAACAAATTAAAGTATTTTAGTTTATGAGCCTAACATTTTCAGTTTATTTGATGTTTTGTGTTCCTGCAAATGCATCTAATGGAGACAGCTTAGAGAAGGGCGTAAGAGACTTTGTTGAAGGAAAGTTGCATAATGAGGAATTAGAAAGGATTTGGGAACAGATTTGCATCCTCCTCGAGGAGTATAGGTGCATGGAAGAATTTTTAGAGGATCTTTTAGGAAACCCGAAGAGACCAAAAGTAGCAGAAAAGCCTCCAAGTAGAGATTGATTTTAGACATAGAAGATCTGGAATTCAGTGGAAGAGGGGGGGAGAAGGAAAGCCTCCAAGTAGAGGCTTGCTCTTTGAGGTGGGCTTAGAAATCTTTGTTTTCATGAAAATCATTAGCTGGAATGTTAGGGGTCTAGGGAGTGCGAGGAAGAGAAGGCTTATTAAGGATCTCCTTAGGGAAAGGTCGGATATTGTGATGTTACAGGAGACCAAATTAGCTGAAGTCGATAGAAGATGGGCAAAAAGTATTTGGAAATCAAGGGGAATAAGTTGGGTCTTTGCACCTTCTTGGGGGGCTTTGGGGGGTACCGTTACACTCTGGAGAGAGGATGTTGTGCAGGTAGTGGAGGAGCTAATAGGAAACTTCTTGGTGTCATTAAAGTTTAGGGTAGTGGAGGATGGATTAACATGGGCACTAACTAATATATATGGACCAAGTACTTACAAAGAGAGGAATGGATTTTGGGAGGAATTATATGGGATTCAAGGGATTTGGGAAGGTCTTTGGTGTTTGGGAGGGGATTTCAATGTAATTCGGTTTACTAATGAATCAAATTATCCCCAACAAACCATTACAACAAGCATAAGGAAGTTCAATGATTTTATAAATAACTACGAGTTAAAGGAACTCCCTCTGTTGCAAGCGCACTACATCTGGTCCAGTTTTTAGGAAAAACCAACTTGCTCAAAGATAGATAGATTCCTTTTTAATGAAGGATGGGGAAACAATTGGGGGGATTTGATTTCTAGAGCTCTACCCAGAATTACTTCTATTCATTGTCCCATTAACAGGAGCCTTTCAGGCTAGGACCTCGACCCTTTAGGTTTGAAAGCATGCGGTTGACACACTCGGACTTTGTGAAGAAGATTAAGTAATGGTGGAGCATAGAAATAAGGGGGAGTGAAGTGGAAAGGGGTAAGACTTCACAAAAAATTGAAAAGTTTGAGGTCAAATTTGAAAGAATGGAACATGGATCAATTTTGGGAGAATAGAAAAAAAAATGAAATCTTCTTTGATGTCCCAAATAGAGGATTTGGATATGAAGGAATCCCAAAGAACCATGAACTCTCAAGAAAGAGAGCGGTGGTGGAAACCGAAAAGGGATCTAGAAGAGGTCCTCTTGCGAGAGGAAATTTCTTGGAGGCAAAAATTTAGATGTAAACTGATCAAGGAAGGTGATGAAAACACTAAATTCTTCCACGGACTAACTGATGGAAGGAGAAGGAAAATCTGGTAACTAAATTCGAAGTGAAAGGGCTAGTTTATAATTCCCAAGAGGAGATAGCCAATTGTTTTGTTGATCACTTCAAATCTATTTTGAGGAGACCCCTAGGCACTAGAGTAGAATTGGAAGGTGTGACTTGGCAGAGACTAATTGAAGAAAGCAAAGGTTGGTTAGAAAGGAACTTTGAGGAGGAGGAGATTAGGCAAGCTGTTTTATCAATGGACAGATCCAAAGCACCCAGGCTGGATGGGTTTACTATGGCTTTCTTCCAAATAAGAAAGAGGCTAAGCATCCTAAGGATTTCAGACCTATTAGCTTGGTGGCTAGTGTGTACAAGATTTTGGCTAAGGTCCTATCTCTGAGGATTAAAAAGGTGCTCCCCTCCCTCATTAGTCAAGCTCAAGGTGCTTTTGTTCAAGGGAGATAAATAATTGATCAGATTCATAGCAAATGAATGTGTGGAGGAAATGAGATCGGGTAATCAAGGTTTTGTTTGCAAACTGGATCTTGAAAAGGCCTATGATCTAGTGGGTTGGAGTTTTCTGTTAGAGGTGCTAAGGAAATGCGGGTTTGGGGACAAATGGTGCAAATGGATAAATGGCTGCATTACTCTATCTTAGTCAATGGGTAGTTAATGATTTCTTCCCAGCCTATAGGGGCCTAAGGCAAGGTGACCCCTGTCTCCTTTCTTATTCACACTAGTTGTTGATGCTTTTAGCAGACTCATATCAGAAGCGGACAGGGTCGGGTCATTAAGAGGGTGGAGAATAGGCAGAGACATAGTTCCAATTACTCATCTCCAGTTTACGGATGGCATTATAATATTCTGTGAGTGGTGTGACCTAAGGGTGGTGAGAAATTTGAAGAGCTTAATTTTGAGGTGGCTCTAGGCAGCCTCTACTGGCCTAGGCTCCTTTGTAATGTTATGTGATTTAATAAAATACCTTACCTTTTACAAAAAAAAAAATTGAAGAGCTTAATAATTCTCTTTGAGAAGGCTTTAAACCTGAAAATCAACCTTGAGAAGAGTTGTGTGGTGGGGATAAACCTAAATAGAGGGGAGTTGGAGTCCATTGCAGCCTGTTTAGAGTGAATTTGGTCACAATGGCCTTTATCCTATTTAGGACTTCCCCTAGGTGCTAACATTGTTTTGAGTAGAAATCTGCTGAATTCAAAAATATGAACGAAAAGTAGTTTCTTGAAGAGAGAAGGAGAAGAAGAGATCTTGAAAAGAAAAGAGAGCAATAATTTGGCCGGGGTGGCATAACATAAAACAGCATATATAAGACTCAAAAACATAATAAAATTTGGACTCACATAACTACTGTGGTCCCCACCTCCTATCTAACAACTAACATAAAACATCTACTCAGATAACATAATAAAATTTGGACTCACATAACTACTGTGGTCCCCACCTCCTATCTAACAACTAACATAAAACATCTAGTCATAAAACAACACAAAACTAATTAATCTTCAACACTCCCCCTTAAGTTGGGAGTAAATGTCATACATTCCCAACTTGCGTAGATCATGTTCAAGCTTGTTCTTTGCCACCCCTTTAGCGAGAACATCAGCCAACTGCAACTCTGAAGAGACATAAGACAAGTAGACTTCTCTGGCTGTTACCCTTTCTCTTATGAAGTGTCTATCAACTTCAATGTGTTTTGTCCTGTCATGCTGAATTGGATTGTGGGCAATATTGATTACAGCCTGATTGTCACAGTACATCATCATAGGTTCCTCTGCTTTCACCCTAATCTCACTCAAAAGAGATCTAACCCAAAGAAGTTCTRAGGCACCATGAGCCATGGATCTATACTCAGCCTCTGCACTACCTTGCCACAACCGCTTGCTTACTCTTCCATGAGATCAAGTTTCTACCTACAAATGTACACACTCCTGATGTAGACCTCTTGTCATCTAAGCACCCTGCCTAGTCTGCATCTGTATAAGATTCTAACTTCGGATTTTCATGATTTGAGAAAAGAATTTCTCTGCTAGGGTGCTTTTTCAGATATGCAAGTATTCTCTCATTAGCTTCCCAGTGCTGAACCCGAGGTGCATGCATGTATTTTCTCACAACACTGACAGCATAGGAAATATCTGGTCATGTCATTCACAAATATAGCAGTCGGCCCACCATTCTTTGATATCTCCCACATCTTTTACTAGCTCACCATCTACAACATTAATTCTATGATTTGGATCAATAGGAGTGTCTGCTAGTTTGGTTCCCAACTTCCTAGTCTCTCACAATAGGTCAAGTACATACTTTCTCTGAGAGATGAAAATCCCATGCTTAGATCTTGTAACTTCAATCCCCAAGAAGTATTTGAGCTCACCAAGATCTTCGATCTCAAATTCTTGTTGCAATGATTTTTTGAGATCATCAAATCTCCTCCAAATCATTTCCTGTAACCACTATATCATCCACATACACAATCAAAATTGACACTAGAGCATCTCTCTTCTTTACAAAGAGAGTGTGATCAGACTGGGTTTGAGTGTACCCAAAACGACTAAGTGCCCCTCTAAACCTATCAAACCAAGCCCTAGGTGACTGTTTCAGACCATACAATGATTTTCTGAGTTTACACACCTTTCCTTTACCAATATTTTCATAAAAACCTGCTGGAATGTCCTAATATACCTCTTCCTATAAATCACCATTAAGGAAAGCATTTTTAACATTAAGCTAAAACAATGGCCATGAATAGGTGGTTGTCAGAGATAAAAGAATACAAATTGAACTCATCTTAGCTATCGTGC